CCTTACGTGATTCGTCCGGGACGCGTCCCACATGTGGCCTCAGCGCCAGTGTTTACAAGCCAGCCAGTGCGGTCACGTCTATGCATACATTCAGTACATTTCACATTATCCCAGTGTTTTTAGTGCTTGTAACTGCAAAATAAGTCATCATGGACCCCAAGAAAGCTTCTACTGCCATCCCTGTGGTAAAAAGGGTGAGAATTAGTATGGAATTGAAAGAAGAGATTAAGGAAATGTGTGCAAAGTGGGTTGAACTGCAAACCTTTACGAATGAAAATCACCCTGACAGCTACTGCAAGCCATGTTGGCAACCTGTACAACGACAATGTTATGGCCCATTTTAGGAAAGTCTTAAAGGAATGGGAGGTACAGACCTCTATGGACAGATTTGTTGTGTGACAGAGGTCCAGTGACTCTCAAGCTGGTCCTAGTGGCATTAACCCTTTGAGGGTTTTGGACGTACTAGTACGGCTTACGACCCAGGGTTTTTGACGTACTAGTACGCCTAAATTCTAGCGGCCTCAAATCTAGTGGGAGAAAGCTGGTAGGCCTTCATATGAAAGAATGGGTCTATGTGGTCAGTGTGCACAGTCTAAAAAAAATCCTGCAGCACACAGTGCATAATGAGAAAAAAAAAACTTTGACCGTTTTTTTGGAATAAAACAGCGACTTTGCACTGTATTTTCGTATGGTATTTATTGTTGTATTCTAGTTTTCTTGGTCTCACTTTATAGAATGGAAGACATATTACAGAAATTGAGATGATTTTGACTGGTTTTACAATGAAAGATACCTTGAAATTGAGCTCAAAGTAGCAGAAATGTTCGATTTTTACCAAATTTCAAAAGTAAACAAATCGTGCCAATGGTCCAATACACGTCAACTGGTGAGTCTAATATTCTTTCACAAGTGCGCCAATAATATTTATAACATTTTTTACACTAAATGCAGTAGTCTGCATAACAGTAAATCTTATATTTTTTGTGAGAATAAAAATTCAAAGTGGAAAGCAAAAGAATATAAGAGGGGCATTGAGACGTGACTAATGACCAGAGGAAATGTCATTTTAGTGCCAGGAATGTCTTTCTTGTTTATTCTAGACCCTATTCGGAAATTGGCATCTTTTGAAATTTGTATGAAATTGGCAAAATTGCTAAATTCTGACCACTGTACTGGATAGTTGAATTTCATAAATGGGTGGTTTCTTGCACCCATTCGATAGAAAAAATGGAGTTCTAGCGAAATATTCATGTTTTTTGTCGACTAGTACAGTGGAATTGGCCCAAAATGGGGCTCAAAGTGGGCAAAATCGCCGATGCGTAAATATCCCCAAGACCGCTAACTTCGCGAGAGCATAATTCCGTAAGTTTTCCATCAAATTTCAAATTTTTGGTGTCCTTATGATCGGGAAAATATTCTCTATCTTTTCATAAGAGAAAATTATTTTTTTTTTTTTTAAATTTGGCCGACCCTGAGAACGAGTTTCGGAGAGGGCCTGTCGACCCTCAAAGGGTTAAAAGAAGGGAAGTAACCCCGGAAAAGGACTTGTTACCTCAAGTCCTAATGAAAGGGGATTGCCCTCCTAAACAATAACTTCCACACTCTCCCCTCCTCCCATCCCATCAATCATCACCAGATCTTCAATAAAGGTGAGTGTCATGTATTGTATACTCCACCCACCACCACTACTCCACCCACTACACCATCTCTACTACACCCACCACCCTCACTACTCCACCCACCACCATCTCTACTCCACCGACCACCTTCACTACTCAACCCACCACCCTCACTACTCCACCCACGACCATCTCTACTACACCCACCACCATCTCTACTACACCCACCACCCTCATTACTCCACCCACCACCCTCATTACTCCACCCACCACCATATCTACTCCACCCACCATTATCACTACTTCATCCACCACCCTCACTTCTCCATCCACCACCATTTCTACTCCACCCACCACCATCTCTACTCCACCCACCACCATCACTACTCCACCCACCTTAATTAATGTTTCTGAACAAACTGAATGTTGAAATGGAGGTCACCTCTTCCCCGGATTTATACGAGAACCAAACAAGGGACGAAGTACCTCACTACAATCTGTGATTAGTGTGGGAGTATTATCCTTCCACTTATGTCATGGAAGAGCATGTGGGACGGGACAAAGTACCTGACATTCCTCTGGGTACAGAGTTGGATTTGACTTCAGATACGCCTCCAATTAGTGTCAGTGTATCTGGAGCTCACTCATAACTCGGATTTTGGCTTGCAACTCAAAGCAAAAAATCGACCATGTGATGGCTCTTAACTCGGAAAACTCGTAAGTTGGGGCACTCGTAAGTCAGGGTACCACTGTATTTCCTGTTTATTAATCACAACCCCAGGCCTCTCCTATATTACTCTTGCCTCCCATTTTGAATTCATCCCCAAAAAATCAAAGGTTTACCTTATTTATTGGATAGAAAATATAACCAGTAGTGATTGTTCCTGTCTTATGGCATCCCACTAATTAAATCAAACCTAATAAAAATCTATAAAACAGGCAGGGGGTGCCTTACCCATCCTCAGGAATATCAGAAAAAAATTTAATATTTCTGCAACTTTGAGGTTGGTTTCAGGGTACACCAAATAAACTTATCTTTACTTCAGCAGAATGTCTTCTAACCTATCAAATGATACCTAGAAACCACTTATAAAACCATAAAAAACTATCCTAGAAAACACTTCAAAAATTGATGTTTTAAACCAAACACAGGGTCTGAGTTTTGCTTTTCCCATCATAAACAGCAAGAGGTAATAATAATAATATCTTTATTTCTACAAGTACGTGTACTGTACAAGGTATACAGGCCAAGCTGACATCAATGACATACTACTATACATAGAAAGCCGTTTGTTATGCTGAGCATTTCGGGCAAATTAGGTCAGTTTTGTCCCAGGATGCAACCCACACCAGTCAACTAACACCCAGGTACCCATTTTATACTGATGGGTGAACAGGGACAGCAGGTGTCTTATGGAAACACGTCCTAATATTTTCCAGCCATACCGGAGATTTGAACTCAGGACCTCAGTATGTAGGTAAATATTTTTTTTTCTATATTGTGCACACTCACTACACAAATCCATTCTCTCATATCTGGGCTAAAATTTACCACTCACAGCTTATCTGAGTGAGCTGAGCTCTTGACATAGATCTATGTGACAGACCCCGGTGTCAATAACATAGTTTATATTACAGACAGGAAAAGGTTAAGATAGAGATTATAAAAACTAACACTTCTGTGGCAAAAATTAAGTTATACGAATAAGAACAACTTCATATATTTATTTTGAAGCTTTTAAATTTCAGTATGCACTCCTTTATAGCCCTGCACATTTATTTATTTATTTATTTATTTATTTATTATAAATTTGAGCACACATACAGAGGTACAAAAAAATACAGATAAGAGCAGCATGCCAAAGCCACTTATACTATGCATAGCATTACGGGCTGGCTTAAAATTAACTTAAGATTAACTAAGCAATGATGAAGTCAGTGATAAAACATTAATGTAAGCAGATTACTATAAAGCACAAGTGAGTATTACAAAGACAGGTCATATGGTTGCATTCAGTCATATGAAGGATTCTGTTAGGTAGTGTATTTAAAAAATAATAAAGTTAGATTCGGTTTTAGGTTTAACATTTATGTGATATAATTGTGAGAAACATTTAAGATATACAATTTATAAGGTTCAGTTATTCAGTATTTATTTGGTTTTGGGTGAGTAAGTGATCTTTGAGTAGAGACTTGAATTTATAAACAGGTAGTGTTTCTTTTATATTTACAGGTAATGAATTCCAGATTTTAGGGCCTTTTATGTGCATTGAGTTTTTGCATAGTGTGAGATGAACACGAGGAACATCAAAGAGTGATCTGTGCCTTGTGTTATGGTCATGTGTTCTGTTGAGGTTGGCAAGGAGATGTTTGAGGGGAGGGTGGTACAGTGGACCCCCAGTTAACGATATTTTTTCATTCCAGAAGTATGTTCAGGTGCCAGTACTGACCGAATTTGTTCCCATAAGGAATATTGTGAAGTAGATTAGTCCATTTCAGACCCCCAAACATACATGTACAAACTCACTTATATAATTGGTCGCATTGGGAGGTGATCGTTAAGCGGGGGTCCACTGTATATCATATTGAACCTTACATTTTACTTTGATTTTCTTTCACATTGTCATCCTCTTGTTATATTTTGTAACATTTATAATTTGAAAAGGTAATGTGTTTTCCCAATTTTCCATACTGTTGATGGAGATAAATTAACTTCATGGCTAGCACAACTCATATATTTCTTTGGAATATGAATAAATGTTTCTGAAATTTCTTCTACTGTTGCCACATTAGTAAAAAACTATGCTAGGTGTTTTCTTTGCAGATACATCCACTATCAATATATTTTCAGTGCCCACTTAGTGGATCTCTTTCACATTTCTTTGTAAACTGTTACTGAATATTGATCACAGTGTGTGTTGTATCATACTCAAGGACACAGAACATCTTGCACTGTTGAGATGCCATGTTGATTACTGAATAATCAACAGTGCCTATTGGAAGGAAGCAGTAACACAAAGCTTGAGATATTCTTTATTTGTATACTTTTTTGTTCCTTAGCATTGTTAGTTTTTATGATGAATATTTTATATCAGGAAGTTCATATATAAGTGCTCTGCATTGTAGTGTCAAACTAGAATAGATATGATAAAGATAAAGGTTTTTTCCTTTGTAAAGGTTGCAATATGTAATTACAATTTTGGTTTGCTAAGTACAAAGAAAGCCACTATCATGCCGGGGTATTTCAGGCAGACTACTCCTAATACAGTACATAGTAACAAGTTTAAGTTAAATTTTAATTGAGATATGGTGTGAGAGGAAACTACTATTCTATTTTTTTTTTAAAGATTAATTAAAATATAAAAAAGCTTTTGTTTCCAGGCATGGCTACTGTCATCACAGTGACCATCCTTCGCATACCAGACCTGCAACTTGGCCATGTAGCAAATTTACTGGACTGGATTTTTCTTCTCTTCCCATCATATGCTATGGCTACTGCTATTACTGAAGTCTATAGTAATTTTAGATCTACAGAAATATGCAACCGCTCAGCTGTCAGTTTAATATGCTCCTTGGGTATTGCTCCAAACCCTTGTTGTAGAGGTGAGTGCCTCTGATTATTGTACTTCACTCTACATATTTCACCTCTCTGTGTAGGGATACGGTAAAATGTTTGCCAGTGCACTAAGCAGACATAGAAAAAACTCACACCACTTGTGCTGAATTATCCATATGAATTATTAAATTACACTGTTTTCATTTTTATCTTACTCTTTTTTTTTTAATGCTTTCACTGTCCAGACCACCCAAAGTTAACCCTTAAACTGTGTCCAATGTACTAGTACGCAAGTGCTGTCTGTGTCAGACGCACTAGTACTCAGTTTTTCGTATCTTCAAATCTGCTCCCTGCCAATATAAAATTTTTGACATTAGCACAACTCATTGGGTCTTCTTCAATCTATTTCAACAATAGTTAATTATGCCGAACAATTCTTTCAACTATCCAGTCATCACATGTACCAGCTTCTTCCTCAACCCTTTGAGGGTCGACAGGCCCTCTCCGAAACTCGTTCTCAGGGTCGGCCAAATTTAAAAAAAAAAAAAATTATTTTCTCTTATGAAAAGATAGAGAATCTTTTCCCGATCATAAAGACACCAAAAGTTTGAAATTTGATAGAAAACGTACGGAATTATGCTCTCTCAAAGTTAGCGGTCTCGGCGATGTTTACGCATCGGCGATTTTGCCCACTTTGAGCCCCATTTTCGGCCAATTTCACTGTACTAGTCGACAAAAAACATGAATATTTCGCTAGAACTCCATTTTTTCTATCGAATGGGTGCAAGAAACCACTCATTTATGAAATTCAACTATCCAGTACAGTGGTCAGAATTTAGCAATTTTGCCAATTTCACACAAATTTCAAAAGATGCCAATTTCCGAATACGATCCAGAATAAACAAGAAAGACATTCCTGGCACTAAAATGACATTTCCTCTGGTCATTAGTCACGTCTCAAGGCCCCTCTTATATTCTTTTGCTTTCCACTTTGAATTTTTATTTTCACAAAAAATATAAGATTTACTGTTATGCAGACTACTGCATTAGTGTAAAAAAATGGTATAAATATTATTGGTGCACTTGTGAAAGAATATTAGACTCACCAGTTGACGTGTATTGCACGCTTGGCACGATTTGTTTACTTTTGAAGTTTGGTAAAAATCGAACATTTCTGCTACTTTGAGCTCAATTTCAAGGCACCTTTCTTTGTAAAACCAGTCAAAATCATCTCAATTTCTGTAATATGTCTTCCATTCTATAAAATGAGCCCAAGAAAACTAGAATACAACAATAAATACCATACGAAAATACACTGCAAAGTCGCTGATTTATTCAAAAAAAATGGTCAAAGTTTTTTTTTTCTCATTATGCACTGTGTGCTGCAGGATTTTTTTTTAGACTGTGCACACTGACCACGTAGACCCATTCTTTCATATGAAGGCCTACCAGCTTTCTCCCACTAGATTTGAGGCCGCTAGAATTTATGAGTACTAGTACGTCAAAAACCCCTACACGTAAGACGTACTAGTACGACGAAAACCCTCAAAGGGTTAATATACAGGAGATACATTCTTTTTGGTACTTCACTTTATGGTGATTCGCTAATACGGACATTTCAAATTATATCCTGATTCACTATTACGCTGTCCGTGTCCCACTCATGTTTGTTTTGTTTACATTCTCCATGAGCTCTGCATCTTGATTATGTCTGGAAACTTACCAAAGTTTCAAATGTTTTAAAGTTATTGCATATTTTATATATACTGTACTCTGATAATTGTACTTATGTGTATCTGTACCTAAATTAATTTATACACTGTGCTGGCATGCAGGTACAGTACTTAGCAAATCAAAATTGTAATTACACATTGTAATCTTTACAAAGAAATAAACTTTACTTAAAATCACTGAGAGTGCCTCAGTAGTGTTGAAGATGCAATAAGCATAAAAATAATCACTCTGGGGCTCTTTAAATGTCATATATTACATTATTATAGATTTTTTTTTTTTTTTTTTTTCAACAAGTCGGCCGTCTCCCACCGAGGCAGGGTGACCCAAAAAAGAAAGAAAATCCCCAAAAAGAAAATACTTTCATCATCATTCAACACTTTCACCACACTCGCACATTATCACTGTTTTTGCAGAGGTGCTCAGAATACAACAGTCTAGAAGCATACACATATAAAGATACACAACATATCCCTCCAAACTGCCAATATCCCAAACCCCTCCTTTAAAGTGCAGGCATTGTACGTACTTCCCATTTCCAGGACTCAAGTCCGACTATATGAAAATAACCGGTTTCCCTGAATCCCTTCACTAAATATTACCCTGCTCACACTCCAACAGATCGTCAGGTCCCAAGTACCATTTGTCTCAATTCACTCCTATCTAACACGCTCACGCACGCTTGCTGGAAGTCCAAGCCCCTTACCCACAAAACCTCCTTTACCCCCTCTCTCCAACCCTTTCGAGGACGACCCCTACCCCGCCTTCCTTCCCCTATAGATTTATATGCTTTCCATGTCATTCTACTTTGATCCATTCTCTCTAAATGACCAAACCACCTCAACAACCCCTCTTCTGCCCTCTGACTAATACTTTTATTAACTCCACACCTTCTCCTAATTTCCACACTCCGAATTTTCTGCATAATATTTACACCACACATTGCCCTTAAACAGGACATCTCCACTGCCTCCAACCGTCTCCTCGCTGCTGCATTTACCACCCAAGCTTCACACCCATATAAGAGTGTTGGTACTACTATAATAGTAGTACCATTATTATAGATATTTTCATTAATCCATCAATGGCATATATGTCATATAAACAAAATATATACAGTGGACCCTCGGCCAACGGCATTAATCCGTTCCAGAGAGCTAGCTGTTAGTCAAATTTACTGTTAGCCGAATTTGCCATTAGTCGAATTTGCCGTTAGTCGGATTTGCCAGTAGTCGAATTAATTTTCCCCATAAGAAATATAATGGAAATAGAATTAATCCGTTCCAGACACCCAAAAGTATTAAACAAAATAATTTGTTTTACATGAAATATATATTTCCCTACACAAAAACGAATGGGACATACAAAATAAACAATAATTAAATGCCACTTACCTTTATTGTAGAGTTATTGATGAGTGATGAGACGGTAGAAGGGAAGATGATGTAGGTGTTTTATTGTTTGGAAGGGGAACCCCCTTCCATAAAGACTTGAAGTACTAAGTCCTTTGGTGGGGTTACCTCCCTTCTTGACTTCTTATTGCCAATAGGACCAGCTTGAGAGTCACTGAACCCCTGTTGCACCAAAAATCTGTCCAGAGAGCTCTGTTTCTCATGTGCCCTTAGGATTTCCCTAAAATGGGACAGAAAAGTGTCACTGTACATGTTGCCATTATGGCTTTCAACTTCTGTGACAGGATAAAATTCATTCATAAATGCTTGCACCTTTGTAAACATTGAACACATTTCCCTAATCCTTGACGAAGTCATCTTCCTCCGTCTCTCTTCCTCCTGCCCTGAAGAACATTCCTGAGATGTGATCTGTTGCTGTTGCACCTGAAGCTCTTGCAGGTCTGCAGTGGTTGATTCTTCCTTGTCGTTCTGCACCAACTCTTCCACATCCTCCCCACAAACCTCCAACCCCAAGAACTTCCCCAAGGACACAATAGCTTCCACTGCTGGCATAGGCTCCTGAGGGTTAGCCCCAAACCCTTCAAAATCCCTCTCTTGTACACATTGTGGCCACAGTTTCCTCCAAGCAGAGTTCAAAGTCCTGGTAGTCACTCCCTCCCAAGCCTTACCTATGAGGTTTATGCAACTGAGGATGCTGAAGTGATCTTTCCAAAACTCTCTTAGGGTCAGTTGAGTATCTGAGGTCACTTCAAAGCACTTTTGAAACACTGCTTTTGTGTAGTGTTTTTTGAAGTTTGAAATAACCTGCTGGTCCATGGGCTGGAGGAGAGGAGTTGTATTAGGAGGCAAAAACTTAACTTTAACAAAACCAAACTCCCCTGCAATTTCTTCTTGCAAGTCGTGGGGATGAGCAGGAGCATTGTTAATTACCATGAGGCACTTGAGTGACAATTTCTTTTCCTGGAGGTATTTTGTCATAGTGGGGCCAAACACACCATAAAACCAGTCCAAGAAAAATTCCTTAGTGACCCATACCTTACTGTTTGATCTCCACAGCACACACAAATTACCCTTGATGATATTGTTTTTCTTGAACACTGGGAGTTTCAGAGTGATACACCAATAAAGGCTTCACTTTGCAGCCACCACTAGCATTACTACACAATATTAATGTCAGCCTGTCTTTCATAAGCTTATGTCCTGGGAGTGCCTTTTCCTCCTGAGTAATGTAGGTCCTGTTTGGCATTTTCTTCCAAAACAGGCCTGTTTCGTCACAATTAAACACTTGTTCAGGTTTTAAATTTTCAGTCTCTGTGTATTCCTTAAGGTCCTGCACATACTTTCCAGCTGCTTTTTTGTCTGAACTGGCAGCCTCACCATGCCTTACCACACTGTGTATGCCACTATGATTCTTAAATCTCTCAAACCATCCTTTGCTGGCCTTAAATTCATCAATATCATCACTATTTTGAGGTATTTTTTTAATGAGATCATCATGCAACTGCCTTGCCTTTTCACAAATTATAGACTGAGAAACACTATCTCCTGATAATTGCTTTTCGTTTATCCATTCCAATAACAGTTTATCTACCTCTTCAATTATTTGTGGTCTCCGTTTTGAAAACATACTTGCACCTTTCGCAACAACGGCTCCCTTGATTGCCTTTCTGTTTGCCAAGATAGTACTGATGGTTGAATGGGGTTTGTTGTACAGCCTTTCCAACTCGGACATACGCACTCCACTTTTGTATTTTTCAATTATCTCTATCTTCATTTCCATCGTAATTCTCACCCTTCTTAACACAGGCTTGGCATTAGAAGCTTTCTTGGGACCCATGGTGCCTTATTTAACAGTTACAAGCAGCTAAAAACACTGGAATAATCCAAAATATATGGCAGGTGCA